AAAATGACAGGATTAAGTGTAACATGATGTGCTTCATTTGTTACAGCTGATGTTTATTAAACTCTGCTTTTTGCTGTTAGTTATTGGGGGCGCTCATGTTCCCAGAGGAGATTGCTGTTTTGTGATGGAACTCAGAGAATCTGCTTTTTCTACCCATGGAAGTATCATATTCGATGGGGTATTGCTAGCTTAAGCCGGTCTTTAGCCTCGACTACTGCCATGTCTTCAATGTTAACAAAAATTCCGCCCTCAGCTGACAGGGAACCGACAGTTTTCACAAAAATCAGATTTTAGTTTCCTTTGAGATCCATTGGTTTTCTGCTGTAGTTTTGCGCGGACCATCGCACATGCTGATTGGTCAGAAGGCTCACATGTTACTCTGGTCTTAGAACACTGGACACCTACTGTGCAAGAGCGGGACGTGCAATGCTCAGTTGGTAGAGCATTGGCCTTTGGGCCAGAAGATCATGAGTTTGAGCCCACTACAAGACTTTCTCAACCGACTCCCACTGTCTGCTGTCGTTGTGTCCTTGGCAAGACACTTGACCTCTGGGAACACCAGCCACAGTGGGGCGGCTGCGGCTGTAAAGTGCCAAACTTTACAATGATAAATGTAAAGGAGAATGAGGTGGACAAGGAAAGAGGGTTTTTTTAACCTTTTTTTGGAACCGGGGTGTCAGTTTAGTCCTGTTGGTCGGATGAATGTGTGAAAATGTGTTTTCACCACAATGGTTTTTGCTTTTATCTGAAGAGGGAAGATGTTTGGCAATATTTTGGATACAACTTTGACATTTTAATGCAACATGAATATTCTGTGTATCCATTTTCATCTCGTGTTATTTTTACGGCACAAAGAAATTATGCAACGCTCATTTTTGCCAACGGAATACGGCGATCTCGTTGACAAACCAGCCCATTTGTGCCTCAGCAGCCTGTCTCTATCCTCTTGGCGAATGCAAATAGACTATTGACTGGTTCTGCTCAGCTCTTTGTGCTTGTGCAGGGGACTAGAGGGACACTTAACAGCTAAATACTGGGAGCTGTTTGGAGCTTTGTCTGGCTAACACACTCCCAAGAGCATTTTAGGAGGCTATTATTCCAAAAAAGAGCGAAAATGGCGAAAGTGATTTGAATCCAGGAATACACAATGCGAAAGATTAGGGATGTAATAGGCAAGGCAAGTTTATTTGTATAGCACAATTCATACACAAGGCAACTCAAAGTGCTGAACAAGATAGCATTAAAATCATAAATAATCACAGATTACAGCAGAGTTTGGAGTTAACAAAGAAGTTTATAGACAGATAACCAGAAAAAAATGTTTAGCTTGTGGTTCATTTGAGATAAGAAAAGCCTTTGTTTGTCTCACAATGGAGATATAGGAGGATGCAGCAGAAAAGTGCTTGCAGCATTGGGCTGATAATGCAAATGACAATGTTATATAGGAGTATTTACCATCAATTATCAAAGTTTATTTCAAGGATTAGACAAAAGTAAATGATACATTTTTGTGCTCATATACTTTTACTATGAACAGCTAAAGAAAAAAAACATATTTAAATGTAATGTGACAAAGCCTTTAAGCAGAGGAACTTTAACCCTAACCCTTTTTTAAAATGCTATGAACTTTAGTCATTTGGATTGCAATGTACTAACGTTTAGTATAATGAATTCCCAGGATAACACAATGCAGTACTCGTATCGGTATTTGGTATCGGAAAGTACTCAAATTAAGTTTTGAATAAAGTGGTTTTGGCGCGTCATTAATTTAGTTAAGGACACATATTATGCAACATTGTTTTTACCTCTGTTGCGTTGAATTGGAACAAACATTTCCCTGTTTCTGTGCAAAAGTAAGCTGCGATGAATCATTGGTTTATGACGTTGTGGTCTCTCGCCTGCCCTTTAAAGGTTTTTGTGAAATTCAAGTTACGGTCTTCACACTTGCTTGTATTCAATCTCAACAGGATGTAAGTACGCACTTCTACCGCTCGATGGGACTGCCATCTCATACTACATTTGAATGTCCAAATAATCCAAATGTATTCAATTATTACATGAAAAATGTCATGTAAAATTACCAAGTTAACATAAAAAAATGCATTATATCTGCGCTGTAATGCATACTTTTTTTATTGTTTTTATTGATAAACTATTTTCACACTAAACGGAACACTGACAAATCGACACACAACTGTTAGAACTTTGAAATGAATACAAAAAACTACTGAAAGGAAATTAATCATCTAAATTCTATATTTTTCCTTTTTTGCACATGAATGACCTTAGTGATGAAATCGTCTCACATTACACCCTTACATTACTGATGCACGTCTTTTTTTCAGAGTGATCTGTGGCGTTCGTGCCCTTTGTCTGTTCCTATAATCAGCCTCTCTACCGCTCGCTGTGGTTATTCAGTGCGTAATTACTGCTGCTAGTGGATGTGCCACGTGCTCCGCCACCTCTGCAGCGCTCTTATGACTGTGGCTTTTAAACCGCTCTAATTGGCACCTCCAGTGGTCCCCGCGGTCCCCTCTACCTGAGCCCGATTATAGAGCTCTGTTCCTGGGGCAGCTGTCAACCAAAGACCCCTGAAGAGAAGAGACCTGAAGGCTAATTCACCTGTCACCTGTCTGCTTTGTTTGTAAGGCTGGCACTGGGAACAGCATGTGACGTTTGGTTTTACTTAGAAATAACCTGCTTTTCCTTATATACAGTGATAGTTCAGTGGGTCTAAGCCAAAAGACTTTGAATATATTTCTTAAGCTCCACAAGGATGATAAACTTGCAGTAGTCCATTATAATATCATAGTCTGGGGGTCCTGGGGGGACTATGCTATGACTTAAGGAGACTGATATTGAAAATCTGTATGTTTTGATCCTTTTACTTTGACACCTTTTCCTCATCGTGAAAAGTGTTCCCATTGTTGTCCCAGCTTTGATCAAAAGGCTGTAATAAAAAAATAACGCTTCCACTCACTTTCAGGCTATTTGAACTGGAATGTGTGTATATGGTTGTGGCCATAACAGCCTCATCTAGTAGTAACGGTGGAAAATTACAGTTTGCTTCTATCATGCACTTGAGTCACACAGAAAAGACATATGACTGGAGGCTTAAAAACATGTAGAAGCATTTGGGCAGATGGGGTGGAGCTATGTATTTTTACCATAACTTAAAAAAAATGTACAGTTCTGTTTTAGTGAGGGGCCAATGTTATACATGAACAACAAAGACATTTTTGCTAAATCTGTGCTATTTGCAGATTTACCCACACTAGTCTAAAGCACAATTAATCAGCACCTCTATTGCCGGGTCATTATGTCACGTCATCAGTGAGTTTTTAGGCAGGAAGATACTGGGATCTGGGGTCTGAACTCGTACCCGGGAGACTAATGGCTTGTAGCTGTCGACATATGTTGCTTTGTGTAATTGCTTGAATTGCTGTCATCGTACATAATGGTTGGTCTTTTTCATGCTCCCCGGCGGTGGGAGCTTTGTCGCTAATTATATCCGTCAACCCCGCAGCCAAAAAGCAGCGTTTCACAGTGATTTTTGGGAGCGCGGAGCCAGTCTGGTTTGTTGTACGCTACTGCTAGTGTGTGGGGAAGAAACAGCGGGGTGTAGGCGGGTTTATAAATCATTAGCAAGAATATAAAAGGCATCCCGTTGAGTAGTTTTAATGGAAGGGGGTCATGACTCCATTTTGTGTTAACTTTGTCATGCATCTCACTTGGACTGTCTTTGTTTGGATTGCCTGCAAGGTTACTGTCTGCCAAAAGGCTATTTGTTATAGAGAATACTTGGCTGCAGAGTTTGGCTCTGTCGTGTTTTCAATGTTTGATTTGTGAGTTTAGAGATGGACCTTCATGTTCCAACTGGAAGGGCGAATGAGTGACATTTAATGGTTTATAACTGGATACATTTGACTGCCTGGATATTGGTGATGGATGGAGGGGACAGAGAGAGGGATTTTATGAGTGGTGATTAGTTTAAAGTCAAAGTGACCAATGATCAGGCCCCGTTTTTCTCACATCCCTCTAAGACTCCTTGGGTCTTTGACTCCTCAGCCATAGATTCATCAACAGGCAAGAGAGCCTGCTGTAAATACTTCCCCCCTTTAACACATAATTTCATGTGCACAAGAAGAATACAGATTAAAAGTTGTGGTGGTAGAAACTGAAGAGATAAACCAATGACATGGAAAGAATATCCCACTGATAAAGGGGAGGAGATAGCTTGAGGCACAAGCTGAAAGCTGGTTTAAGATGAGTCGAGACCGTTTAAATGCAGCCAGTTAAATGCAGGTCTAGAGCAGAGGAGCATGAGTGGGAAGAGGTTTGTGATCAAAGGTGTTTAAAAGTTAATAGAAAACCAAATAAGTTTCTACAGGGAAAATAATGACCACAAAGAATACGCACATGGCCATGGGGCACAAGCAGTTTGTTTGAACAAAGTCTTCCTAAGTGCTTTCTGTGTGATGTTATTTAAAAAGTCTTTTTGTACTTGAAGATGGGCTACGCACGCAGTTCATTTTATTTGTCTAAAGCAGCCATTCCCAAACTCAGTAACACCGAGGCCCCCTTAAAAATTTGACGGGTCTGCCTGGCCCCCCAAAATAATAACCAAGAAGACAACATTAAGAATAGGCTCTTCTGGTTTTCTGCTACAAACATTGTAATACAAAAATGATTACAGTGGATTATTCAAGTCAAATAATGAACACAAATATTTTAATATTAGAAACAAAACATTATAAATTTAACATTAACTATATTATTATTATTTTTTTTTTTTTAATGACCTCCCGCGGCCCCCCTGCAGTACCCTCCCCCCCCCTGGTGGGCCGCGGACCCCACTTTGGGAGACACTGGTCTAAAGTATTCAAACTTGGACAAGAGAATTTTAGAATATATTCTTTCTCCTGCAAGAGTAACAGAACAAGATTTGTCTCTATCGCTTTCAAAAGACTTAAATTTTACCCGTTGTGCTTTTCTTGCAGGTACGACACCATCACAAACCAGTGGGAGACGGTCTCCCCTCTGCCTAAGCCCGTGCACTCTGCTGCGGCCACCGTCTGTGGTGGAAAAGTCTTTGTGTTTGGAGGAGTGAACGAGGCCGGGCGCTCTGCGGGAGTCCTGCAGTCATACGTGCCCCAAAGCAACACGTGGAGCTTCATCGAGTCGCCCATGATCGGTGAGAACACTCACACACAACTGTGCACAGGGTCCAGCTCAGAGAGTGTGTCATTGGTAAAAATCTGCAGAATATCTAAACTTGAATTGCAAACTCTTCTCCTTAAGATGATCAATAAATAAAGATCTTTATCTGTGAACCTCCACCCGAACGTCAACGCCGAGAGGTGATGACCCGAGACTGACCTGGGACTGAATGGAAACTATTCATACCTAGACTTAAGGACTTACTTTGAGCACATACTGTATGTGGTCATGCAGAAGTAAAATAAAGCTTTTAGTTAATTTATTTGTGAATGGATTAAATTGTTTTCAAAGTTCAGCATAAGCACAAATGAGATAAACATTATATAATCATCATAAAACAAAAGTTATGAAACCACACACTAAAAAACATTTTTGTACAGCTCAAAAACACCAGTTGTCTTGGACAACAAAATTGTTGATTTAGCAATAGCAGATTATTAAATCAAACCAATTAAACGCTCATTGGCCCGTGAGGAGAAAGACTATTACAAAAGCGTACTCATAAAACATGTTTAGGTGGGCTCTCCGCCGACTGGCTTCCTATTTGGTTTGATGTGGCTGTAATCGTTGGCGTTACTTTACTTTTTCTATGTCCATACTGTGACTTTAAGACATTATCCCCATTATTATTGTACTGAAGAAAAAAACCTGCATGATACGATCGTTCATAAACGCTCACAGGTGCATGGCATTTATGAACAATCGTTTGAAAGGCAGAAGTAAAAGGCTATGATTTAAAAGCGAGTCAATTACAATCAAAATACTTTTGCTTAAATACATGACTCTTTTTGGCAGCTTCTTCCATCTAAAATAGTTCCATGGTTTTCATGTCACCACCAGTCTACTCCTCCAGTGTCAGACGCAGATACTGCTATGTGAGTATCCTGTGTTCTTTGCGTGTGTTTGAGCATTGATCTCCCGCCTGAACTGCAAATGGCTTTTGCAAACGCTCGGCGTGAAGTGAGGAATAATATTTTGCTCGTGCCAAAAAGCATTTTCTCAACTATTGAAAGGACACGTCTGTTTGCAATGCACTCGTCACGCAGACAACAGCATCGCGACAAGACACTTATATACAGTGTGCGCGTCGGAAAGGTCACATCGTCCAAATTACCAAAATGCCAGAGATTTCAAAAGAGTTTCTGTATTGTGAAGGGTAGCAGAGTGCGGCTGTGTGGGTGGTGTTGAAATATTCTTTCTTTTTTTTTTTTTTTTGGAGCTCCCGGCAGAAGTAAAAATGTTGTTGAATTTTCTTTGCACAGTGAAAATCAACCTAATCACATATTTGCATACCACTTTATTCTACAGTATTTGTGCTGCCATATATGAATAATGACAGAAAGGCCTTTGTGGTGGCAGTTAGATGAAAAAGTAAGTTACTTTATGAAACCCTTTCTTCTGGTGCACACTGGGGGTAGTCTTGCACAGTTGTTCCAATGTGGTTTTGCTGCAAATGGTAAAAAAAATCTTCAATCTTCTTGAATCTTGAACATGATAGCCCTTCCTGGAATTTGTACCGGGACATGAGATTAAGCTTGTACAATATTTAATGAGACATTTTGTATTGCATAGGAATCAGAATTCATACATTGGGTTGCCTCGCCTCTTCGCAGATGTGACGTGTTTTTGATCTGAGTGATGTTATAGTTAAGAGCAGTGTTTTTCAACTAGTGTGCCATGGAACGTTGGTGTGCCTTTGGAAATTATCCAATATCACCTTTTTTTGGTCAAAATTAAGTAAAAAGAAATTAACATGAAGATTAGAAAGACTGTTTTGTGCTTGTTTGAATTCTATATAGTAATTCAACACCCCAACCCATAAATGGGTTAAGGGTAAGAAGATGGATCTACGGATGGATGGATAATACAATTGGATAAGAATGAATTCAGGGTTGATAAAGGCTGCAGAATTTCATGTTTGTATAAGTTTAAGCGGGTGGTGTGCCGCGTGATTGTTTTCAATGGGAAAAGGTGTGCCACTGGTCAAAAAGGTTGGAAAACACTGGTTAAGAGAATGTTTAAAGCCAAACTGTGGAACTTTCTATACAAAAACAAAAACCATCCATCCAAGTCTGCTCAAGGCTTCTGGAGTCCCTCTTCACTGCTCCTTTTAGAACAGACATGTCCAAACTCAGGCCCTCTGTGCCATTTTATGTGGCCCTAGTCGTCCAGCTGTATTTGAATAACATGAAATAGTAATAAGGATGTTTGGTTTACTGTAAACACGATTTTTCTCAAACGCGCAATATTTGCACCGAATTGGCCGAGCTCTTTGACTCTCCGCCCTGAGATGACCAAATACTGCCTGTAGTTTGAATGTTTCGTCATGAATGCACAATGATTTAGTGCGGCGCAGTTCGGTCGATAATGGTCAGAGATTCTGCCAAAAATCTGTGTTTGTTTAGACCTGGAGCACAAACTGGGATGTTGTAAAAGCATGTGACCTTTTATTTCATCAGTGCAGCCGGTTTTCAGCAGGTGCAAACAACTCATCATCCGTCATTATCATATCGATGAGTAATTTTTGTTGATGGAACTATTACCCAAGCCGAAGAAGTAGGGTCAATTATAATCAAATGGAGACCAAATGCTCTTAGGGTAAAAAACTGCAGGTCAAACTTTTTATTTTTAGTATAGTTTTTGCATATTTACCTTATTATATGTGGTATACATAAGTGAGTGGTGTGACTGGAGGATGAGCTACTTCTGCAAGTTTTGACGCTTTTAGTTTAACATGGTCCTGTCTTCTCCTGCGTTGAAAAGCAGACACATGTCCAAACAACATGCCAACCTTTCCCACTGTAGTCCCATGGTTGATAGCCATTTCAACACAGGTCCAACCCACAATCTTCAGGCTCAAAGGCCAATGCTCTACCAACTGAGCCACTGTCATAATTTGAAGTTAAAAAGTTAAATATATATCATTGTGTTGAACTTTATTTTTGGTCCAGTTGAAACACTTTTTTTCTGGAAAAATCAACCGGAAAATAATTCTGAAACTCGGGTCACACAAAAGTCATGTCAAGATACTTTCATAGTGTGCTTCTTTATTGTGCTAAAGTGGGAGATTTTGGCTTTCTTTCCTTAGTATGCTAAAGATAGAGATTTTATTCTGCTTTTTTGTATGCTAGAGTTAGAGATTTTATTTGATTTTAGTGTAGAGTTATTTATTAATCTATCTTGTGTTGTGTACTCCTCATTCCTACTGTGTGTAACCTGTAATATAACGCATACATTTCACCACTGTGTAACAAACAAAGGATCTCTTAATCTCTATCTTAATCTTAATGAGGACAAAACAAAGATGGTGAAGCTGGAGGAGATTCCGATTGCCATCGAGTCTATTTGATCAGAAATAGACGTGCGGCGATTACACAAAGGTGTGGCGTAAATAGAAATGATATCATTAATAACAGTAGAAAGCAGCGTGGACTGTAAGAGCTTCATCCCATTCATTATGCAAAGTATGTCCTGTGTAAAACGTCATTATAAAACCTATCAAACGGGATATTGTGACATAACTCGTCAGCTTGAAGCGGTCAAAAATAGCCTCCGATAAAAAGCACATGCGTTGAATTCCTCTCACCTCTTTAAAGCCTGTTCACAAATGACATTTCCTTCAAAGCCGTCACACACCAGGCTTATATAACTGCGAAAGATCCACGATAGTCGCAGCCCTGTCACATCCCACCGGGGCCTGAAGGCGACAATAGGATTTCCTTATGTAAAGTATAGACAGTCTCTCCCCTATAGCCGCATTGATGGACAGACTGTGATTTCTAGTGCCCAGCTCCAGGGAGTGGTCTTTATCGACCCCCGGACAATTACTGTACGTGCGCAATGTGAGAAGTGGCCAGGATTCGATTGACAGCGCCATTACGAGGCTGGGTTGAACAAAAAAAAATAATAAGGCTCAGAAATGGAAGAAGATTGGTGCTTTTCCATAGTAACCTAATTGAATATGTTTATCCTCCCTTAAGTTAAAGAACCATACGTCATTGCCCGGTTAAAAGTCTATGCTGGGTGTTTCAGATGACGTCTCTTCAGTTGCAGTTCAGTGTTTTTTCTATGTGCAGAACATGTGAACTGTAGTATCTGAATCATAGACTGTAAATATTAACGGACGTAGTCACGCCTATCTCCGCCGTTCAAACAAATGGGCCAAAAAATGTGCTGTACTGGAGCTATCGAAAATGGCAGCAAGTGGTCCCGCCCACAAGAAAATTGTGAATAAACGCATCTGCGCATGCGTCAGCCGGCGCAAGGTCCATTCATTTGAACGAGTGACTTCAAAAATTCACAGCGAGTAAACTAGAGTGGTCCAAAAAAATCCACCCCCCTCAGCATTGACACACATGTGGAACGAAGCTTTGGGCCAAGAGCCAACTTTTGGACCATCCTGTAAAGACGTTTTCGAGAGGTCTGCCAATGTTACATGTTAGCATTGGCTAATTCTTATTCCAGGTCCACCCCGATCGGCCGGGGGTGGTATTGCAAGCATGTCAGCGCACATCATTTTGGCCACTTTTGAGCCGGGACCCACCCCCACTGATCTGAATGCTCGATGATGGTTTTGAGATTAAGAGATGCTTTATTTGTCCCACAGATGGGAAATTTGTTCAATTATTGGTGACAGAACAGTAGATATGAGGAGCACACAACACAAGATAAATGAACAATAACTCAATAGTAAAATCAAATGCAATCTCTAACTTTAGCAAAACATGTATAACATCTCTAGCTTTAGGAATCTCCCATTTTAGCATAATCAATCAGCGGAGTTAAAGGAGCAGTATGTAAAAATCTTACCAAAAGTGGTACTGCACTCTCTCTGATTCAGGTTGCCAGATATGCAGCAAAATCCAGCTGGAACCATAATTTCTGAATAGACAAGTTTTGTCAAAAAAAAAATCTATAACCAACACCTTTTTCACAAAGATAGAAATCCTTATTTTATTCCTCGTTTTGTCATTA